GGGGGGGGGGGGGGGGAGGAGAGAGAGAGAGGAAGGAAAGGGACAGTCTCAAACTAGCCGGCAACCAAGTCCCGGCGGCGTCCGCTCACCTGCGGTGTCCCAGACGGAGAGGTTGTGGGGGCCCCATTGCTTGAGGTAAAAAGCGCCGCCGACGGTACTGACGGTGTCGTGGAAGCGCCGCTCCATGTAGCGGTGCAAGAGGGACGTCTTGCCCACGTTCATATCCCCGAGCAGGACCACCTTCCCGTCAGGTTTCATGGCGCCCCCGAAGGCCCCGGCGGGACGGCGTAGCTTTCGGAGACTCTCGCTCCTTTGAGGGGAGTCAGGAAACTTGGGGGAAGGCGGGGCTCGCCTCGCTGTTGGCGCTTTCCCCCCTCCCTCTTTCCTCCGAGGCCGGGCGGCAAAAAGGAAAGGGCCGCGAAACGCTGCGGCCACAAGGGGGAGAGAGAGACCGCGGGAGACGTCGGGAGGGTCCCAGGCTCCAAGCAGCCGGTGGGCGCGCTGCTCTTGCCCGAGGAAACACACCTTGCTGGGCCCCTGCAGGTGGGAGACTGGCCGATTCCCAGCTTTCATATCTTAACCGTGGCTTATTGGGCAAACAGCCTGGATGGGTTGGATGACTGGGAGGACACATTTCCTTAAAATTCCAAATGTGTCCACCGAACCTAAAAGGCTATTCTTATTTGCAGTTAGCACATTGTTGGGATGTGTGTGAAGCGCGCATGACCTAATTTGGCAGGATAAACCACATGCCTCTTCACTGATTACTCCTCATCTGATAAGTTACCAAGAGCATCCCTCATGCATGGATGAAGTATTGAGACTGACTGATTCCCAAAGGATTAAACAACTCTACAGCATTCTGTTGCAAAGATATCTGCAAATGGATCTTGGTACATTATTGCTTTAAGGCAGGAAAGTTAGCCAGAATCCTGTTTGCTTATGTGACTTTGTGAGGATGTAATAATACAATACTGTCATTGTGTCAGCATTTCCCTCCCTCCCTACAGGCTCAGCTTTGGACGCCTGATCTCACACTGCCTGCAGTCAGGCACCCAGCATGTGACCAGTCAGATAAAGAGGAGCTGATGGGGGGGGGGGAGGCTGCTACTTGATTTTTCTTAAAGGTGTGGGGTTTTTCCAATTGGATTTTGGCCATTACTTTTTGAACAAAATGTTGCAAAGCATACAGTGGTGCCTCGCAAGACAATGCTAATTAATTCCGCGAAAAATGCTGTCTTGCGAAAACATTGTCTTGCGAAACGCGGTTCCCCAATGGAATGCATTGAAATCTATTTAATGCGTTCCAATGGGGAAAATTGTCATCTTGCGAAAATCGTCCATAGAAAACATCGTCTTGCGAAGTAATCGTCCTGCAAGGCAATCATCTTGCGAGGCACCACTGTATAGGTCAGTGCCTTTAGAATTGCTAGAATAGGTCATAAAAAGGTATATTTCCTATTCAGCTTTACCAGTTAGAAACCCCTCCCATTCCAGGGGCACTACAAGCTTTTCTAGTATCTGAGGCAGAAAGAGAAATGCTGCATGCCCCCTCCAGCCATATCAGTTCCCCTTGATTTACTTGCGTTTAGTGCTAATGTCATATTTTGGATGGAAGAAATATTGAAAGGAACTGTGAGGAAAAGGTACAAAACCCAACAAAAATACCTAACTAATCATTCAATATTACAGTATTTAAAAAATTTCTATTAAGTAGCTAATGATGCAATGATTATGAAAAGTGCTTCCATTACAAGACACATCACAGCAGTTTCACCTATGAAATCTAGTGCTTGAGTCTGCCTGTTTGTCTATGTGTCTCTCTCCATTTGTTCTTGAATTATATGGGAAAATATTTATTAATTAATTAATTTAACACATATGCCGCCTACACTATCCAAAGGTCTCTGGGCGGCTTACAACAATTAAGATACAATTAAAAAGATAAAACAATTAAAATACTGTGGTGTCCGCCCTAGGTTATATGCCTTATTTATAAGATAGATGTTAATATGGTTGTGAGACAGGGCCAAAGGGGTGCTGAAGAGGTGGAGCCTGGGAGAGAAGTTCAGTCCGAGTCAGAAAGAGCTAGAACAGAGGATAGTTTGGGGTTTTGGAGGCAGAGAGTGTTTAAGGAGTGATTAATCAGTGATTAGTCAGTGTGACCTATGTTAATTAATATAGAAGAGATTAAACAAAAATATTGAAGCTTTGTGGAACTTTAAGAATGTACTTAAGAATTATATCTGAAACCCTGTGTAATCAATAAACTTGTTTCTTTATTTTAAGTTCAGTACTGGATGGACCTTAGTCTTTCATAAGAAAAGTTAGTTGATAGAGAGATAAATTGGTGGCAGTGTATTAAAGGCCATGTTGGGATAGCTCTGTGTTTGGTGAGACAAGCAGGGGCCACTAGAGCAAATGCCACAAATACAATTAAAATATATACTCTAAAAATTGCCATCAGGACCCACAGTTGATATTATTTCAATTAAAAGCCTCCTGGAACAGGAAGGTTTTGACTGGCGCCGAAATGTCATCAACATCAGCGTCAGATGTATCTCAATTGGGATGGCGTTCCACAGTCTGGGGGCAGCTGCCTAAAAGGCCCTCTGTCTACAAGTCGTCACTCTTACCTCCTTGAGGGACGGCTCTTTCAAAAGGGCCCCCTGGCTAGATCTTAACTGCCGGGTAGGCTCATATGGAAGGAGGCGGTTCTTCAGGTGTCCAGGGCCCAAGCCGTTTAGGGCTTTATATGTTAAAACAAACTCTTAGAATTGGGCCTGGGCAGCAACTGGTAGCCAATGTAACTTATACAGAATCACCTTGATGCGTCTCCTAGCGGCCCCACCACTCGCCAGCCGCGCAGCTTGATTCTGGACCAGGTGCAGCTGCCAGGCCATCTTCAAAGGCAGCCACACGTAGAGCGCATTGCAGTAATATATACGAGATGTTACAGTGCGTATGTAACTGTAATGAGACTCCACTCGTCCAGGTAGGGCTGTAGCTGGTACAATTTCCGCAGCTGAAGGAAGGTGCCCCTCGCCACCTGGGCTTCTAGAGTTAAGACTAGGGTCCAGGAGCACCCTCAGGCTGGGGGCCCTATCCCTTAGGGGGAGTGTGGTGGCGCTGAGGGCTAAACCGCAGAAGCCTGTGCTGCAAGGTCAGAAGACCAAGCAGTCATAAGATCGAATCCACGCAACGGAGTGAGCGCCCGTCGCTTGTCCCAGCTCCCGCCAACCTAGTGGTTTTAAAGCATGCAAATGCAAGTAGATAAATAGGGACCACCTCGGTGGGAAGGTAACAGCGTTCTGTGTCTAAGTCGCACTGGCCACGTGACCACGGAAGATTGTCTTCGGACAAACGCTGGCTCTATGGCTTGGAAACGGGGATGAGCACCACCCCCTAGAGTCGAACACGACTGGACAAAAAATTGTCAAGGGGAACCTTTACCTCATTCAGGGCAGGGAAATGGCCCTCCAGCCTGTCTGTCTTGTCTGGATTGAGTTTCAATTTATTAACCTAGTTGTAAGGAGGACAGGAGTCATGGATGCCCTTGTCAGCATGCCATTATGCTCCAAACAGGGAATCAAGGCCCCCATCCAAATTGCTGCTCAGATAACTTCATCTACTCTGCTGGTAGCAGAGAGTCTGCAAGGTGCCACGGCCTTGGTAGATACTCTTCCCAAGAAGCCAGAATACAAACTGAAGCCACAGTGGTTATGTCAGTTTTGGGAGATGGGGGATGGTTCCTAGGGGAGTGGAGGGAACTATTTTACCCCTGGTGGATGTGAGATATCAAAGTAGCTTTGCCATCAGGGGAAGTTGAAGTGGAGATTAAGAGAGAGGGAGACAGCTGTTGGGCTGAGGAAGAACCAAAGAAAGAGAGCCAGTCAATACAGAAGTTATAGATTTTGCTGTGCGAGAGGGATAGATAGATACCCCTATTCCAGAGTGCGATGAAGACTGCTAAAGGAAGCTGCAAAGGGGGAAATAGAGATGCTTTCATAGAAGGGGAAAACCCAGTCACAGGAAACAGGACTAGTGAGAGAGGAAAAAACCCCAGGAGATGAAGACTGAGGAGTGGAAGGCCAGTTGGGTAAATATTAGGTGAGGAGTCCCCTGAGGAATAAGTCCAGATTGAATGGGACTATGTGTATAAAAAGGATTGCTGGAAAGGGGTCTGGATCCAATTTCAGGCGCTCATAAAAAGGCCTCTAAATATGAATATTGTGACCCTACTATTGGGAAGAGAGAGGGAGGAAGAGACGAAGCAAAGAAAGGGAAGTGACTCTACCCCATCCCTGTGTAGACACTAGTGTAGAAGGAGACTTTGCAAATGCCAACGTCAAGAAGTGAGGAGACAAGTGACATCAAAGAGAGAATCCTGATGTACCTGTCCTCAGCATGGGCATACTGCCCCTCGCTCCAGGGAACACTCCTAGGAGGGAAAAACCTTGGATATTAGATGAGACTGGTTGGTCATACTGGGGGCTCAGTGAAGGGAACAGAGTTGCTCCAAGGGACTTCAACCTTCTCAGTGAACAGATCCAGGGAGTGGCAGACCAGTGGAGAGAATGTGGGACTAGTCAGGGAACTAGGACTGTTGACTCTGTATGCACTAGTTTATTATCTGTTTTCTGGATCCAAGTTTCTGTAAATCCTGTTGAGCTTTACCCACTGTCTACTTACTGTGTGGAACGAGAGATGGAAAGTGGAAGCCCTGCCAAGACTACTGGTGTTAGCAAGGCTCAAACTAGTGCAGAATCATAGAGAAAACTGAGTTGGAAAGGGCCTATAGGGCCATCAAGTCCAATCCCCTGCTCAATGTAGGAACCCAAATCAAAGCAAATCGATTTTCAATTTTTTTCTTGAATGCCTCCAGCGCTGCAGCGTTTTTGCTTAAGTATTGATAAAGCAGTCAAAATCACATATGGAAAATGTAGAGGAAGTTTTCCTGCATTGTGTCTACCTTGTCTTACACAATGATTTGAACTAGGTGACCTACAGTATTCCTTGGAACTGGTTGCCATTTGGGTAGTTGCAACATGCAATAGGAACTTCAGCAGCATGATAATTTCAGTTGCACTAATCTTGTGTGTCTACTGCAGTGCACAGACTGCGTGGGATTTAGGTTCACTGCTCTGCCAAAAGCCGTCTAGCTTCAAGTTATGGTCAGGATAGGACTGACCACACCATTGAATATCATATTGTGTCTATGTTGCTGGAATGACATGTGTGGCGATCTCCTCTGAAGCCCCTATTCCCCCAGGCTTTCACGAGATTCTCACTCTTCTTCTTTCTTCGCTGCCATCAGGTATTGCTGCTTTAATACTATTCAATCATGGAGACATGTGTGCTTTTAAAACTTAAGTCATTTATTAGATCAGGGAAGTTAATATATGATTTTCAATAGGTAAATCACAGGTTGATAATCACTAGTATTTGAATTAAAACTGCTATAACTTTAAACCTCTTTTGACTCTCTATTCTATTCATCGGTCTCACAGATCTCTAACTCACTCTTAGTTCACTTTTAAGTTTCACACTGTCTTACTACCAGAATCTCTCTCCTCAGGCTCTACACACCAG